ATTTTTACTTTATTATTATATTTATTAAAACTATGACAAAATGTTGTGTATATTAATTATGAATAAGTGAATAGCAGGTAAATTGGTGGAAACGGGAATCGAACCTTTTTTTAAATTGGCGGAAACGGGCGATGGCGGAATCGGTCATTTCAAATTTTGGCGGAAACGGGTAATTCCCCCGTTTATGACACCCGCCGCATTATAATATATCTGTAGTGTAAAAGTAAGCCGGGCATTGTTATTCTTCAGACCACAAATTAAGATATACCAAGGGTGTTAGTGCAGGTTTTTCCAATTTTCCGCCATTCTCTAAAATAAGATTACTATTATATATTTTATATTAAGCGATATGTGTAAAATGTTGATAAATTATCTTTATTTCTTAAGATAAGGACTTTTTTTTAAGTCAGATTAAACTATCAAACTCCTAATTTCTATTTTATTTCAAATAGTGATAATATATTTTTTGCTAATAAATTATTAGTATCGTTGTTTTTGAACTAAACATTTAGCAATTTAGCATACACCTATTGTATACAATTTTGAGCAAAAGACATAATGCGCTTTTGATTAAGTATGTGACTTTTCGATCGACTCCTGTTTTAAATTATAATAATCGTATATTCATATTACGTATATGAAATCGACATGTATTATTATTCATWTTAAAATTTTTATATTTTTATGTACCTTTCACAATCCACCGTAATAGGTAGGTATCGATATACCTTATTTAATTATATTTGTTTCTGCCATCAAATAACCCGAAAAGTCGTAATTACATACCATCATATAAACTACATTATTATATTGCCTCATGCCTCTTCTTATACTTAGATAGCTCATCGTGTATTTATTTATATAAATTTTTTAAATATTAATAATTAAAGGTTGCAGCAATAAATAAAATGTTTTTTATTTTAAACACCATTGGACAGTAAAAAAATTGTACATTTAAAACAACACAAGGAATGTGATTCTATTTGAATGGCATGTATAGCTAATACATTATACAGACATAATATATTACCTATTAAAATAAAAACAGCTGAAAAAAATTCATCATGACATAGTAGATATTATTACGTATAAATATTATTCTATCTTGTAGGCAATAATATCGTGATTATAAGAACTTTACTTTTTATTAAAATAAATCCATTAATTAATAATGTAATGAAAAATATCAAGACAAGCTCTTRAAACTGCGACTAAGTAGATAAATAATATTAATAATTTATAAGTTAATAAAAAATACACACAAATATAAAAATGTTCATTCATAAAGTATTAGTATAAACATTCACAAATATCTGCTTATGTATGGTTTTTTAAGTACATTTAACAAATTATTAATTCATTTCAATTTTATGCAGTTAATTTATATATATATATATACATTATAATGTCTTCAATTTTCTAGGTGTAAATAGTTGAGACAGGTTTAAGAAAAATTAGTCTTTTATGAAGTTTAAATTATAGTACTAATAGTTGAGTTTACCTAGAAAATAAACATAATAATGGTGAAAATAATTTGTCTAATTTGTTTAAATAAATTTAAAAATGAACAAAACACTTGGTTGCTTACAATAATGGCTTATTAATAATTATTTATAATTACTCAATGGCCTATGTCGCCAAGGGTATATTTCGTTTAATAAAAAAAAAAATATATATTTAAGTTCTGTGTTTAATTTTAAAAATAGTTGTTAAAAAAGGGGGAACAATTTTGCAACAATTTACAAATATCCAGAATTTAGTTAAGATGGCTACTCACAAATAAATAATAACTATTGTGAACTAAATATTGATTAATGTTCTCTATAAGTAGAAAGKTATACACTTTATAAGTTTCATGAATCATTAAAAATCTTGGTACCTAATTGTCATATTTAAGTTTGTTTAATTGCATCAACTTTGTGGTAGTGATACAAATATATATTATATATCTATTTTTATTTACAAACTATATATAATTTAAGTAATTTAAGCCAATTGAATAATATAAATATATATATATTTACAATAATGTAACACTGATTACATTTTACAATCACTATAAAAATCAATTCTATTGTAAACATAAAAATATTTTTTTTTTAAATATAATAAGTAGTATTACATTAATCTAAAACCAATACAACATACTTAAACATAATACCATTAATTTATAATATACTGTTGGTTATAAACCACTAAATAACTATAATAAGATACATACAAGCTATATGAAAAAGTTAGTCATTGATCTTGATTTTAAGTAAAACCATCAAAAATACACTATGATTCTTAACTACACATGCTTAAGTCATTAAAGTTAAATTGGATTTATTTAACTAGTTTTATAATTCTTGTACAAAATAAACATTCTGTTATTTACATTAAACAGCAATATTTTCAACTTAATAGTTAACTTTATAATTATACACCTAAAATAGTTACTTAAAATTGCAATATATTAATGCATACTTTGAATGAAGTAGTTTAAACATGTATTTTATACAACATAAATATGGCATTATTATTACACATACATTATTTTTTAAATCATATTTACTAAAAACATGGAATATTATAAGTAYTCATAATATAAATAATAAATATATACATTATTCATATTAGTTTTATCAATCTAAATCTGCACATTAATAAATGGAATTAAAATTAAAATCTTAAGATTCCTTCAGTTACCGAGACATTYATATAAATCAAATATACAAATAAAAACAAATCAAATTAATTTGGAATCCAGCTTAAAATTAAAGACATAATATGACTTATTTCTATAAAAATAAATAAATTCAAAATATTTTTGGTATTAAATTCCATTTTGTTGTATAATAACGATCCCATGTATCACCATACTGTAAACGGCTGAAGGTAGAAATACGCACACATTGGTGGGATAAAGTAATTATGTAATACAAAGGATAAAAAAGTACTGGCCAAGATGATTGTAAGCTGCCAAGATTAGGTTCAAATATTGGCAAGATTAAGGCTAAGTGTACAATTATGGTTCCTATGTAATTAGGATACCTCACGTATGACCAAATACCATCTACAATAGTTCTCACATCTATAGATAAAAAGGCGATTAAACCTTGATTAATATTATACACAAGTATTTATAAAAATAAAATGTAATACTTACAAGTAGGCTTATAGACAAATGTCAAGTTTTTTTCATACTGATATTTAGTGAAATCACTATAACGTTGACAAATATAGCCAAATAAAAAGATAAATGATGAAATACTCAAAACATAATAATTAACAGGTCTAAAAACAAACAAAATACACAGTGATTAATGAGTTTAAGTAAAACATTACATCTTACTTACAAATTGTTTGCAAGTAAAATTTGAATGGGTAAAAAATTTATAATCGGTTGTAGAAATTGTTGAATAATAGTCCAATATCCATCTTTTTCATTTTGTAAATAAAACGAAGACAATAAATTAAATTCAAAAATCAATTTATCTAGAGCAAAAAATATTTGCAGTCCAGCAACAAAATAAAGATGAATATTAACTGGATTTTTAAGAGAGTCCATGATCACAAGGTAATTAAATAAAATCTGAAATAAAATAATAGTAGCGTGAATTAGGTACAAAAGAAAATATTTTATTTATTAATGAAACTTACAGTCATCAATGAAGAATATCTACAAAAAGCCAATTTGATATTAATAGGCCCCAATGTAGGATTTATTATTGTTCCAGTAAACAATTTTTGTATAAAATTAAAAGAAGAATTATCATTGATTTTATCTATATACTTGGCTTTTATAAATAAAATTATGGAAAAAATAGATGTGTATAAAACTGATGCTACAATATGAGGTACAGTCTTTTTAGTCACCATTTCTAAAATAAAATTTATCGGGCACTTGTAATAATCCATCAACCAAATAATCAAAGCAGCTATAATTAAATTGAAAAATCCTGTAACCAAAACATTAATCATTAACATTTATCAAATAAATTATACTTAAGTAACTTGCCTGAAAACCTGTAGTGGATAAACTTAAAATCATCATTTAGTAATGATCTGGATTTTTTTGCTAAAGGTACAAGTGATATCAACAATTGAAGAAATATAATAGCAGCAGTCCATATAAATACTTCTTGATCATAATAGTTGGCTAATCTTAAATAACCTCGAGGAAAAGGTATTAAATTTCCTTTCTGAAAAAACACCACAATTAAGATTATTGAAAAATTATAATATTGAAATATTTTAATTACAGTTTTTATGGCAATTTTGACAAGGATAACCGACATTGGGAAAAATGCGGTTAATAAGATATTGCCAACTGAACCTCCAAATTCTGTAGGATAAGTTTTTGTTTTATATGCTATTTTAGGTTCATCATCAGATTCTTCATTATAATCCAATCTTGATCTGGATGATGCTATGGAGATCTATAACAATTTAAAAAATCAGATAATTACAATTAATATTCACTATACAAAATAGTTTAATGTTTACTCATCTTCTACCAAAGACATTTTTACTTGAGTTACTGTTGTTTTTATACAATTAGTAGGGTAGGGTCAAAAGGAATAAAGTATTTAAAAAAATTATATGTATCAGTGGCGTACAATGAGTAAATATGCGCATTTAAACAGGAAAACAGGAATTTATTTAATTAACTATGTCATGTATAATATAGGTTTTTATTATTATATTTCATTATATGTATTTTATTATACTATATTAAAAAAAATAAAACGTAAATTATGAAATCAAATTATTATTACTATATTTTTTTTATATAGGTTTGCAATGTATTGATGGAAATGCTTCAATATGCCACTTCTACACATAATGGTAAAGGAATTTAAGGCTTCAACATAATATATTTATTGACTTAATGCAGTTCAACAAAGGTAGAAAATGTGRAAGACTAATCAAAAAATAAAATTATTCAAGTTTTTTTGTTTTTATTAATTGCCATTTGTAATAACAAGAAACTATGTAYAATTTTAAATGAGAGTTTAAAAGATATATTGAACTTACAAGTTTTAAGAACCTAAATATTTACTCTATAGACATCATAATATTATTGAACAGTATTTATTCTGTTCTAAATTAACTGTTTAGGAAAATAAATTTTAAATATTTTATCTATCTCTATCATTTATGAATAAAATACATACATTATCATTTGTATTATGCATAGTAGGATTAATTTTTGAGTTGACTTCTTTAACAGGAGTTGGACTCTTTCTTGTTTTCGAATTAACCGGTTGAACAGCCTTATCATCTTTAAGTCAAWGTTAAATATTAATTAATTAAGTAAATAGAAAGAGTCATATAAAGTTTAACAATTTTACTTTTGATCTCTTTCTTTTTATCGATCGGATTTTCTTTTTTTGGATCATAACGCTCTAGAACAACTCGAGGACTTGTTGTCTTGGTAACTGATCTAGATCGAGTCCTTATCTTCCTCTCTACAGATTTACTTTTGCTACGACGACGAATAGCGACTGGTTTTTTAGCTTTGGATGGTGTTGCTGATCTTTTAGCTTTTGAGGGTTTTTCAGTATCACTTGGTGAAGCAACCCCTTCTTTCCTTGATCTTCTAGTTAACATGGCAATCTTAAAAATATAAAGTACAAAATGATTTATTTATTTTTAAGTTGTACAATTCAATACAAGCACTATTATAAAGTTGCAGAACAAATATTTTGTCATGGCTAAAATAGTTAAGCCATGCATTGTCCATAAAGTAACAGGTAAAGAAAWGCAAGATAATAGAAATATAGATGTGATAATCTTTGGACATATCATCATGACTGTCAAATGACACGACTATCAAAGAATATACAGAGTTCCTAGTTGATAACATACTTGCAAGAAATTCGGATTAGTATCCTACCCAAAACTGTAAGAAATATCAGATCATGTACGATGGTAAATCATAATATTACAATGCAAAAAAACTACAGACAGTCGTCACGGAGGTGCATAATGCGAATTGTGAACGGGGGGGTATAAAAAAATTCACAGCGTAGGTATTTTCGGCAACGGTTAGGTTAGTTGACTTGTTGCCAAATCGTAAATAACGAAACCCTTTACTAACAGACCCCGGGAGACCACCAACAACAGGGAAAGCATAGTTAGTGGGAAAAATTTAAAAAAAAACCGGTGACAAAAAATATCTTTTTCCCCTCCCTCCTATACAAAAACGCTTAAAGAGCGAGGCGAGAATTAACTGTTTGCGTCAGCGATGTTAGTAAAAATTCACTTACCGAAAAGACGAGAAACGATTTTTGGCGTCGGAAACAACGGAAATATAAATCTTATCTGTGCAAATCTGCGTCCAAAGAARTAAAATGCTTCGTCGAAGATGTAAGTACTACGTGATCGGCCAGAAAACCAGCCGGACGAGTCAAAACTGTTAAAACACGTAAAATGCGAAAACGAGGGAATCTCAAATTCTCAACTGATCAGATTATCATGAAAACGGTTGGGTCCGGTGGTAAACAATGACGATGACGCTGCGACGGCGCACGCTATTGGTGAATTTTTAAATCTGCCGTGTTTACGTTCCATGAGAGGTTGGTTTGTTTGTCCGTTTGGCTTGTTTGTTGTCCAACGTCCGTTCATTCGTCATAAAAAATTGGTTTCCATTCCCGCGTACTTTATACGATCAACGGACAATCAACCCCGTGCGCGTGCGCGTTTCACCGCTGTGGGGCGTAGTTGTATTCGTAAACCGGTGGCCAGGAGCCGGTTTATTATTATTATTATAGTCAATGTAGGTATTTGACATAATATGTAATTTGTTGTGTATATACATATACATATATATATATATATATACAATGCGTAAAACACTATAATACTATGATATCGCTACCTCCGAATACCGACAATCATCATCACCTGGTGTTAAGCTACACGGCGAAAAAGCGAAATTAACCTTAAACAAAATTTTTAACACAAGTCGGATCGGTCATCGACGACATCAACTGTGAAATTATTTTTATTAATTATTAGTTGTTATTACTGTATGGAATCGAAATTCACTATAAATAAAAATGTATTAATATGCAATATTATTATATATTAAGTTAGTATGTATATACCTACCTATAATTTATTATTACAGTATTAAAATAACTCTTTCCGTATTATTATTACGACTTTGTAAATACTTAGGTATTAGGTTTAAATTTAGGTTTTTTTTATTGCATGTTCTCAAATAGATTGTTATTTCATTCAAATAAAAATAACGACGACATTAAATGTCGCCAAAAACAACGAGTGAGGCATAGCCGCATAGCATGTACTGAATTGAGTTGAGTGGATTGCAAACAGACGATTTTTTAGAGTCCGTTAAACATAAAATTTTTTTTAAATGCATGCATGCGGGTCATTTTATTAAAATGATTTTAATGTGTGCGTAGTAAGTGATCATTAGGGACTACTGACTACTGACTAGTATAATAGTGAGTGACTTGTTTACGTGTAAAAACGTTGGGTAAAATATACAGGGAAGCGCTTCCGCACAAATCATCAATAAGCGTCGTGCGGGTGAACAATAAAAATATATTATCGTGTGTACTTTTTGACTTCAGTTTGTCAATAATATCGATGGACTTGAAAAGTAAATACCTAATAATTAAGGCCGGCCCAAGGTATTTTGACGCCCCGGGCAACTTTTTGAAAGGCGCCCTCAATCAAATGCTCCATAATAGATTTAATACTTTTTATGCTTACTTACATATTTTGTTTAAAATTCTTATATTTATGGATAGGTAAAGGATGGCAAAACTTATTTGGATACAATTTATAGACGTATCGGCTGTAACACATAATAATTTTTTGGTTTTCCCGAGATAATGATTATATTATATCATTGTATATTATTTTTTAATTATTTGTAATATAATGATAAAAACTAGAAAGTGGAGTAAAATCTATAAAAAAAATATATATAACAGAATATTCCGTCATAGATAATTTAGTCATTTAGCTATATTATTGTCAATTTGAATAAATATTACGCTAAAATTTATAAAATATTCGTATATTAAAAGCGCCCCTAAAAAAGTAGCGCCCCGGGCAACCCCCGGGTTCGCCTGTATCTTGGGCCGGCACTGCTAATAATGTGATAGTCGATAAGACTTCTGAAATCTTGTTTGAATTCATTAAAATTTCAACCTGCCATGAGATCGATCAGCTCACATTTTAAAATAATATGTTGTTTAAATTTCCTGTAATTTTATCCTAATAATCCCAGATTTAAAATTTTATGAATTTTTTAGTGGATAAAGTGCTCTCATTTCTGCAGGATTTACTTTCGTTTATTTTAAATTTCCAATTTTCATATTAAGTTTCTAAAAGAGAAAAGTGAGATTTTAGTTGATTAATTGCAGTGATTGGCCTTTTTGGGTTTCGTGAACTGAAATGATTGCTTTATTATCGGCGTATTTTACGACAAAGGTGTGAGGAGAAGTGAATTGATCAGCTATCAAGATGTTGAAAAGGAAAAGAGCTGTTGTTGGCCCTTGGGGAACTCTGTATTTAGAGTACAATTAAAGGAAAAAAAGTTGGAAGAGAAGTGCATTTTTTCAAGTTAAACATCTCGACTCTTGACTATTATTATAAATATATATATATATATATATATATAACCACCGATGTCATAATTATGTGAGAATTATGCGTATTTTAGTGAAGCGATTTAAAAATTTTAAATATTACATGTTAAATTATTTTACCAGTTATAGGTATGTATTATTTTAAAGATTGTCCTATCGGTACTTTCTGACGCCGAACATAGACATTAGTTCCCATGTACTTTTATGATTTACCTAGTATTATGTAGGTATATTGACTAAGCTGTAATAATAATAAATTATTGTTCCCCAAAACATATACCTAAATAAGAGCAGACGTTACCGTCGCGTCTAGGTATTATAATTTATTTTTACTAGCATTCGTTTATTATAATATTATATTCCGATGATATTCCGTCAACGTTTTATTGTACAAAATATGTATTATTTGATGCATATTATAATGTATACTGTATACAATTAAATTCAAATACATGATGATATTAAAGGCATAAAAAAAATAATTAGTCATTATACATTAAATTATATATACAGGTACTTTTTACTAAAGCATTCTGTATTGGAAAGGTATCGCTCCATTAATCGTAAAATAATTAGCGAAATTGTCTGTTACGTCTATTCCACTTCTGTTAACATTTCATCCATGTGTTGTCAAATTATCCAAATTAAGCACATCAGTTTCTCCATAATAATTATACCCATCCCTCTTCCGAACAAAATTGTGGATAATACAACATGATTTTATGTCATCGCAAAAATTTGGTTCCACTAAAATCGTCGTGTGTAAAACTCGCCATTTGTTGGTCAAAAGTCTGAAAGCATATGTATATTCGACGGTGCGTCTTGCGCTCGATAACCTGTAGTTAAAAGCCCGACGAGTATTATTAAGTCCACAACTGGGAAATTTTCGTAATAGATTTGTGTGAAGACCAAATGCTTCATCAGCAATAAAAACAAATGGTTGAATATTATTTTCAGTCAAAGGCAATGCAACTGGGTCCGGAATTTGAAGCTGTTGCGAGTATAACATTTTTCCAAATACACTCTGACGAAAAACAGTAGAATCGGCTTCACAACCATATGCGCCTACATCTATGTATGTAGAATTTAAATTAGCATCAAACACTGCCATTAATACTATTGTAAAATATTTTTTGTAGTTGTAGAACAGAGAGCCTGAATTTTCTGGATTTTTAAATCTGACGTGCTTACCATCAATAGCTCCAAAACAGTTTGGGAAATTTGTTTTGGAATAAAAAGTCTTAGAAATATCTATCCACTTATCTTTATTTGGTTTTGGCATTTCTGTGGGTTGTAGGACTGACCATAAAACCTGACATGTTTCTCTTACAATTCCGTTTATCGTACTTTTTCCAATACGAAAGTCAAAATGCAACGCAGTGAAATGCGTCCTAGTTGATAAGTATTTGTTAAAATTTAACAAAAACCTATTTTTTAGCAGTTGATAAAATGTTAGGATATTTTTCAATTTATTAATTAATAATTAAACAACGTGCAGTAATTATTGGAGTGTTCTAATAAGATTTTAAGGTATTTTTGAAAAATATATTTATATATAGTTGAAGTAATTTGAATATAATGATAAATCATTATTATGGTAAAAAACGTTTCGCAGAGCGAAGATGTTCTAACATTTTGATAACCAAATAAGCAGTTATAAATTATATATGTAACATTTTGATAAGTACCCGTAATTTTTTTAGTTTTTCTGATTACTTTAAAAAATAACTGAGCATTTTTAATATTAATTTAAATGTATTAAACAAACAAAAAAAGCGGAATCGTGGATGTCGCTCTGTTGTACAGTAGGTTACAAGTGGGTTACTGTAATGGATGGAATTAAATTTGAATCCAATGATATTATAACATTGTATACGAAAAACAGTTCTGAGCGGAGACGGTTTATCTGTCTAGTATATATTATAGATTATTATAAACATTTTCAAATCTTAGATATAAAAGGGAAAATTTTTTATGAATTTCTAGCCGATTGCGGTTCGGTCGTTGACAAAACGCTAGTCTGATGGGGCAACTTATTGGCAACTTAGACTAGGAACCGAAGGGGAACATCACGCGGGTAAACTACAAAAAAGTAAATCAACGCTAATTATACGGAAGTCGGGCACCGGGCACGCGTGTGTCAACTGAAAAAACAAATCTTCACGTGTGCGTGAGTGGATTAACAAAAGTTGCTAAAATAATCGGACGTTTCAAGAATAAAAGAATAAAAAATTAACGAGTTTTTGGACAAAAATGCAAAAATAAAATCTATGCACGAAAAGGTTACGGCAAACCGTACGAAAAAGACGTGCTCACGCGTGGTCGGTAGCAAAAGAGAAAGAGCCGTGCACGATTGTTAGCGTGAACTGGTATGTTGGCTAGCATCGAATACAACAACAAAAAGGATGAGACGAAATTCAGTTGGTACAACATTGCGTCGATGTAGATAAGTGGGGATACTCGTTCCGCCCGAAAAAAAGCAGAACTACTTGACTTGACATCAATGGATTGGACTGCGTACGTGTATTCGGCAAGCGGATCCTCCCGTGCGATGAATGCTGCAGGTTTGAGTGGATCCATGGAGATCCACGCCGAGGACAGATCGCGTTGAACCGGCGTACGAGTATACGACGAATGAGCCGCCGTAACGAGGCTGCGGAGCGGTGGTCTGATAGTGTCGATCCGGAAAAAAACATGACTGACCAGCCTCTGCAGGGCACGCTCAGATCATCTCAGATGTATGAGCACGAACGTAGGGCGTTGAGTATAGTGGTTCGTATAAGGATGAGTGTATCGGAACAGTTTCGTGGAAGTTTTTTCGATGGCTGCTTTGACTGCAATGTTGCGCAACGCGAGTARTACRATGTCATCTTGGCTGACCGCTGCAGCGATTCGTACGCGTGCGGTGAAAATGTTCTACGATCCCGTTGGCTCGAGGGTGGTGCTAATTTGCTGAATGCCGAAGGTGATTAAAATAGATTTGAACAGATCCTGCTCAAACTGTCGGTGGTGATGACGTTAGGCACGCCGAACTGTGCTATACAGCGCGATTACGTAAGCCGACATGTCCTCGATCGGTCATGTCTMTGGCCAGTACGTAAATCGGTCGACGACGGTTAATAGGTACCTACTATTGTATCCGCTGGACGGTGGTAGTGGCCCAATCAAAAAAAGGTGAACGATGTGACCGAAGCGTCGTTCGATGTGATGCCTGACGTCGTGAGTATTTCTGTACTTTGGAACGGTTCTCAGGCTCCGGTCCACCGCATGATTTCTCGGTCCATGTCCGGCCTGCAGCAATAGCGCAATTTGATAAGACGGAGGGGGATCGTATAACGAGTCGAAAACTGTGCGCGCTGCCCGCGGAATAATCCGAATAGAGCACGCCGTCCGAAAAGGTGCGTGCCTGCGCATGTAGCGTCAACGAAATTGTTGTATTATATCAGCAGCGATAATACACTGGAGCTGCGGATCGTTAGCTTGGTCGATTGCCGTATATAAATCCGGTAGCGTTGTTGTTTCAGCGATTTCAATAAATGTCAACAGCGCGCCTGTTGCCCTTGCCCGAAATGTTTTCGACGTTGTGTATGAATTGAGGCAGAAACGAAATTTGTCGCACCTGTCCTACCTGGACGATGTTTTTTGCCTTGAGTGTAAATATGTATATAGATGAGCGGCTTTTGATCCATTCATAATGCCGTGAAGTGTGCTCCGATGTATAATAGGTAGACGAAATGTCGTGCGCCCAAATACGCGGCGAGAAGTTCTCTGTCGTACGCGTGCTGTATTTTTGTTCGACGGCAGACAACTTTTTCGAGAAAAAACACAGTGGCTATCAGTCTGTCACTGACCGCCGACGATTATCTATTGATATATTATAATGTGRKTCAATTTAATAGTCTATACATTATAACTTATAAGGATAAAAAACAATTGCAATTTAACTGTACATATTCACACTAATTTTGGAACTTAAAAGGTCTAATGATTATAAAAGAGTT